TCATCCATTTATCCATTCACCCGCCCACCCTCCCACCCAGCCGCTATCTCACTGTTGTCAACAGAGGGCCTTCTAAGTACCCAATGTTGCATTTAGCCCCCAGTACAGCCCTTATAAGGGGTGATAGGGAGAGAGATTTCAGCACTCAAGGGCCAACTTGCTGAGCTCAGGGGAGGGGCTCCAAGGACCTAACCCAGACCCTGATTCCAGAGGCAGCTTCTCCTTCCCTGCTGAGACTGCTCTAGGAAGCCTGCTTCTGCAGACGCCGGCAGCTCAGCCAGCTGAAGGGGGTCCAATGACCCGGGAGAGGCAGCGTCAGGAAGCCTTTCCATAAACACTCTGGAAGCCCTCCTTTTGCTCTGGCAAGCCCTGCGACATAATTACTGAGCGGATGTGACCTGGCCAGACCACGGTCGGATGTCCAAACACTTTTCCAGAGGACAGAGGTCGCAGGGATGCCTTGATGACTTTCTCCGTTCTCTACAGAACCACATGAGGGAAAGGAGCCAGCGGAAATGCCATTGCCCAGCCGAGAGCAGATAGCAAGCCCCTAGCCTTTTCTAGAGCGAGCCCTCGGCAGTGGGAAGGGGACTGGGTGGGCTCCGGAGGAGGTGGTGAAACCAGTCAGGCCCCCTGGACATCCTTGCCAAGCTCTGGTGACACGTCCATTCCTGTCACCCTGGTCCCTCACTTATGGGACTGCTTCCTGGAGGAGGTGACTTTTTAGGTAGAGAGATGGGTGTGCAGCTCCTGATCGTTGGGCAGCCTTGAATATTCAGCACTAGCATTTGGTGATTATCATTATTTTAAATATTAGGAGCTGTCCTTTGGAAGTGCATATTCTGTACCAGGGACCTTTTAACAAGTGTATTCACTCATTTAATCACTACAACATCCTTCTGAGGTTGGGGCTGTTATTATCCCATTTAATAGGTGGGAAACTGAGGCACCGAAGTCACAGGGTTAGTAAGTGGCAGATTTGAACCCAGGAAGCTTGGCTCCAGAGCCTGTGTTTTCCACCCCGATATGCAAGACCATGCCGCCAGATAAGGGGTTGCAGTCCACGCCAGGTGGCTCCAAGGTACCCCTCAGCTACCGCTATGGGGCGGTGTTATTTTTAGATGAATGAATGAAAGGTCAGGTAGCTGTGGGTGGACTGTCCACACTGCCTGTGCCGCCGGGGGGGCTCTGGGGCTGGAGCAGGCCCTGATGGTGTCGTCCCCCCTCTTCCCGCCTTCTCAGATGTGGACGTCCTCCAGCAGCTGGGCCTCAGCTGGTCAAAGGCGGGGGGCGGCCGGAGCCCTGCACCCCCGGGAGTCATTCCTTTCCAGTCCGGCTTCATCTTGACGCAGCGGGCCCGGCTGCGGGCCCCCGCGGCCGCCGTTCTTCCCGCCGCCCTGGGCTCAGAGCTGGCGCTGGTGCTGAGCCTCTGCTCCCACCGGGTGAACCATGCCTTCCTCTTTGCCGTCCGCAGCCGGAAGCACAAGCTGCAGCTGGGCCTGCAGTTCCTCCCCGGCAAGACGGTGGTCCACCTGGGGCCCCGGCGCTCCGTGGCCTTCGACCTCGACGTGCATGACGGGCGCTGGCACCACCTGGCCCTGGAGCTCCGCAGCCGCACGGTCACACTGGTGACGGCTTGTGGGCAGCGCCGGGTGCCTGTCCCGCTGCCTTTCCACAGGGAACCTGCGCTCGACCCCGAGGGCTCCTTCCTCTTGGGGAGGATGAGCCCCCACGCGGTCCAGTTTGAAGGTGCCCTGTGCCAGTTCAGTGTCTACCCTGTGACGCAGGTCGCTCACAATTACTGTACCCACCTGAGAAAGCAGTGTGGACAGGCCGACACGTATCGGCCCCCGCTGGGACCCCTCTTCCCCCGAGACTCTGGCAGACCCTTTGCCTTCCAGACCGACCTCACCCTGCCAGGCCTGGAGAACCTGACCACTGCCATACCATCCCTGGGGTCACGGCCAGCAGGCGGGAGGCCCAGGGGGACGGTGGCACCCGCTCCGCCCACCAAGCCCCTAAGGACTAGCCACGCCCACCCTCCCCTGCATACTGCAGTGGGGGACCCAGCCTGGACCCCGCCACTGTCCGCCAAGCTGTCCTCCAGGACCGTGCATCCCCCCGTGCCCCCAGCATCTCCTGCTGGCTCCACCAGGACTCCTCGCCCTGCGGCCACCCAAGCATCACCGAAGATCACAGCCACCAAAATCCCCAAAAGCCTCCCTACCAGGACTTCAGCCCCTTCTCCTTCAGTTTCCCCCATCAAAAGCCCCCATCCTGCCCAGAAAACAGCTCCACCTTCATTGACAAAGTTAGCCTCAGCTACCCAGAAGCCGGTGCCACCCACTTCCCGTCCAGTTCCTGCTAAAGTCTTCCGTCCCACAGAGAAGCCCAGCTGGAGGACCTCTGTAACGCTCAGGCCCCCTCTGCCCAGCGCCCGGCCCCTGCCTCCCACCACTGGTTCCTCTAGTAAGCCCATTCCCACAGGAGCCCAGACTGATGCCAAGACAACCGGCCATGCCCGTAAGTCGGGCTCCTCCCACACCAGCACTCACAGACCTCCCCAGCCCAGTGTTTTATCTCTGTCTCCTGCCCCTACCCCTGGCTCTCCCAGGGTCGCTCAGCCACCAGCCACGGCGGTGCCTCTAGCCTCGGGCACCAGAGCTCCCAAAACGGCATCTCCCGCCCCCATTCCTGGTCCAGTCCCCCCTGGAAACAAGAAGCCCACTGGATCAGAAGCCTCAAAGAAAGCGAGGCCTGACAGCAGCCCCCGGAAGCCCGCCCCCCTCAGACCTGGGAAGGCAGCCAGGGATGCCCCGTTGAGCGATCTGACAACCAGGCCCAGGCTCAGACAGCCCCAGCCCAGTCTCCAGACCACCCCGGCCCTGGTACTGGCCCCGGCGCAATCCCTGTCCTCCAGTCCCCGGCCCACGAGCTACTCGTTCATTCACCTGGCGGGACCTACACCTTCCCCTCTGCTGATGGGGCCTCCGGGGCCCAAGGGAGACTGCGGTTTGCCGGTAAGACTGGGTGGGGTCTGCATGCTGCTTAGAGCTCAACTGAGCGATGGGGGCATTTGGTTGAGTGGTTGCTCCTGGTGAGGGCTGGGGAAAGGGGACAACTGAGAGCAGAGAGCCGGTTATGGGCATACCGGACTGGAACCCAGGCGCTGACTCCCGGTGGTATCCTCTGCATTACTGCACATCCTGGTCCAGATTTGGGACCCACCGAGACAGACTCAGGTCTGGCGGCCGACCCCAGGTGAAGAGCACCCCTGGGCTTTGGCCCAGCCCCAAGGCCATTCTTTGCTAGCTGAACTGCAAAGGCCAAACGGCTTAAGGAAGGCTGTTCACAAGCCACGCGGAGCGAGAGCTGAGTGGCCTTCAAGCCCAGCTCTCCTACCTCATCCCGGAGCGTGGCTCCTCCTGGCTACCAGCTTGCCTGGGAGTCGCAGACAAAGGTCGCACATGGGTAACCCTGGATATGTTTAGTTTGGCACGTGCCATGGTATTTTTTAAAAATTGAGTAAGTTACTAGCATTTTTTAAACGTGAGAGATTTCTTATAAAAAAGACTCAGCAGCTTCTCTTGGAGAGTGGGAGGTGCAGTGGCCCTCAGGCTGCCCCTTTAGGAGGGACAAGATTACTCCTCTCTGTACCGGTCCTGCGTCTCCCGTCTGAGTCTTCCAAGCTGTCTTCCCTCTGCCCCCCCGCCCCCTCTGCCAACTCCATTTGTGGCACTGTGGGTGTTTGGTGTGTGACCGTAGAGGAGTTTGGGATGAGGAAGGGCGGCGTGGGCCAGAGTGAATGGGAAGGGAAAAGAGAACATTCCATGTGCGGGAGATGGTCTCAGGGTCGATGCCTCCGGCTTGCCTGGGACCGTCTCCAGGGGCAACGACCTTCCCGCAGCTGGAGGCCAATTCCTCCGGGTGGGGATGACGGGATGGAGTTTCCAGGAGGCTCAGGCTCCTGCTTGTTCTCCTCCCGCCTTGGAGGTGACCACCGAGTGGCGGCCTCTCTTCCGCCTTCCTGAAGCCGGCTCTCCCACTGGGTCCTGTGTTTGAGGTTAGGGCTCCCTACGATGTGGAGACAGTGGCAGATGCTGGGAATTCCCAGGCCTTACACACACACTTAATGAGTTTTAATAATCATTAGGAATAATATTTATCCAGCCTGTCTCCAAGGGGACCGAGAGCCCGCGTTTATTATAACCATATTGTAAAACTTATGGAAATTGTATGCATTGCTTTGCAATTATGTCAACGTTCTGCTCAAGTTCCGTGTTCTGAACTTGGCGACTGAGAGAACTGGAAAGGACGAGGAGCCCTTTCCCCCTCCCCGGGCGGCCCACCCGCCTCTGGCACCAGGTGCCTCGGGGCCCCGACCGCTCAGCTTCCCACCAGTCATGTGCCGGGCTCACCAGCAGTGAGGTCAGAAGGGGAACTCTCCCCTCCCGACAGGACAGTGAGGGCCCCGGCCACAGGGCACAGCCCGGCTGAGTGGAGGCAGCCCGCCCTCCCTCCAAGCTGCACATGGTGTGAGGAAGAAGCAGAAACCGTTTTCTGGGTGCAGAATCTGCCCTTGAGGCTGCTGAGTGCCCGAATTGTACATTTTCCCCTGGGGCTTAGGGCTCAGGGCTCTGGGCTCTGGGTCAGCAGGAAGTGAGGCCTCTTACCAGGTCTCCCGTCAACAGATACTTAGTGCTTATTCAGTTCAATGTTCCTCATTGGGCAGGTGAGGAGACAGGAGGTGGTGCCCAGAGAGGGCTAGGACTTGCCCAAGGTCACACAGCAGGAGGAGGCAGAGTTGAAGTTCACATGAATGACTCTAGACTCCAAGACCAATGCATTCCATCCCACCCCCCGAGTGTCTACTGTGAGACTCTCGGAGGCTGGGGTCTTCAGAGAGAAATCAGACCCTGCCCTGGCCCCAAAGGGAGGGCTGAGCATCTAACGAATCTTCCATTTCGATAACCCATCCAGGTTATGAGCTACTTCTCCACCCCTGGCATCCCCTCTAGGACCTTATGGGCACTGGTCCAGGAGGGCAGGATGTGAGTCCTCATCCCTGCCCCACAGGGGCTACAGAGACTAAGGGCTTGACCAAGGGCACCCAGCATGTTCCTGAAGGAGCTGGGATGCAACTCGGGGGCCTGATGTCCCTTCAGGGTCACGGCTCTTCCCACTCCCCCAGCCCTGACTGCTGTGAGCAAGAGGGCCGACCTCAGTCTCCCCAGGTCGCCTCCCTGCCGCATACCCCATGCCATCTCCTTCCCCTCCCTCCCCCAGCTTGGAGCCTAGCCTCACTCTGGTAGTAACCGAGAAGCTGACGGGATGTCTGTACATGGTGTAGCAGGTGGCAACCCGGTCGCTTCTTTTTCACCAAACACCAGAATAATAGAACGGAAGTGGTGCCTTTGGGCCGTGGTGCAGTGAACTCCCGCTCTCTCAGTCTCCCCTATGTCCCCCTGCCCCAGTACCACCAGCATCTAAGCTCAGCAGAGCTAAAGTTATGCTGCCCCTGGGAACAGAATTTAATTGTTCCCAGTCTGGAGACACTCACAGACCTGGGTTCAAATCCTGACTCCCCATTACAGCTCTGTGTCTCTGATCCACTCCAGGCCTCCATTTCTACAGCATATAAGATGGTAATTGCTCCCCCATTCCCTCTTGGGAGGATGACCTGAGAATTTGCACTTAAAGCTGCAGTAGAAAGGGAGCAAGTTGGTTTGCTGAGTGGCTTTGGGGAAATCCTTTCCTTTTCCGGCTCCATCTCTCCCGTTACAGGACACTGGAAGATCTTTTCCCTTAGAAATGGCTGTGGGGCCTTTTGGTGCCTGATTGGGGTGCAACGGGTGTGTCTGCATGTGCAGTCCTCCTCCCGGGGTTCTTGGGGGCACGAGGCCGACTGGCAGAACTGAGATGGAGTTCCGGGCCGAGGCCTGCTAGGAGCTGCAGCTAACTAAGCTTAGCTCAAGGGAGGTCCATGGGTGCCCAAGGGGGTTGGGGTCAAGGAAAAGCTGAACTTGTCCTGGGTGAGTTGGGGAGGAGAGACGGCGGCTCGCAAAGCTGCACAGAAACCGCACAGAAGCCCCACACCAAGGAGGAGGTGAGGCAGGACCTATTCATTCATGATCAGGCCATTGGCATTTGTACTTTTTGCAAGCGTTACCTTGGGGAGACTCAGGTAAGAACTCAGCCCACAGCAGGTGCTCTGTGACTGTGTGAGATGAATGAAGGAATATGATCCTTAAAAACCCAAATTGTCCTAACTCCCAGGCCGGCCTCCTTGAAGTTGCTCAGAGCTCCTGCTTGGGGTGCGGGGGGCGGGTAGGGAGGGGGTGAGGAAGTCGTGTGGGCGGCAGAAGCATGTGGGCTTTGGATTTAGAGCAACCTGGGTTTGAACCATTCCCTTATCCAGCCATGTGTTCATTCTTTGCACAAATGTTGATTGAATGCCTTCTAGTAGGTCTGGTGCTGTGTGAGTCATTTAACCTCTCTGAGCCTCAGTTTATGCCTCGAAAATGAGGCTACGGTACCACCTAACTTTCCAGGGTTCTTATGTGGCTTCAGGGAAACCAGGGCTGTCAAGCATGCAGCTCTGGTACCTGGAAACCTGCATCTTGGTGGATCATTGTGGCTGTGATTGTGGACTGACGGTGGGTATTGCGGTGGGGACATTTTTGCACCGAGAGAACCAGGAGGCTCTGAACACAATCCTGCATTTGTTTGGAGAACTGCTATGAAATTCTGACAGACCTGGGCCTATCATTGAAGTAGGGCAACCTGGGAGCCTGAGTGGATGAGAGTATCATGATGCATGTCAGCTGGGCAGGCAGTGTTTTAGAGGTGGACTTCCCCCACTTTTTCTACCTCTGCACCCAGAGCTTCCTCTTAAAACTTCTTGATGTATTTTCATTTGCTTGTTTTTTTCTCTATGGTCCCACCCCAGGGCATTGCTGGAAGGGCATCTTTTTTCTTTCCTTTTTTTTTAAAGAGGCGACAGAGGGTCTCCCTCTATCACTCAGGCTGGAGTGCACTGACACAATCAGCTCATTGCAGTCCTGACCTCCTATGATCAGGTGATCCTCCTGTCTTATCCTTCTGAGTAGCTAGGACTAGAGAGGTACATGCCACCATGCATGGCTAACTTATTTTTTGTAGAGATAGGGTCTGGCTCTGTTGCCCATACTGGAGTGCAGTGGCATGATCACAGCTCACTGCAGCCTCCAACTCCTAGATTCAAGCAGTCCTCTCACCTCAGTCTCCCAAGTGGCTGGGACTACAGGCATGTGTCATCATGCTCAGTTAATTTGTTTTCATTTCTGTAGAGATGGGGTCTTGATATGTTGCACAGGCTGGTGTCGAACTTCTGGACTCAAGCAGTCCTCCCACCTAGGCCTCCCAAGGGGCTGGGATTGCAGGCATGAGCCACAGTGCCCGACTGTGGGGCATCTTTTTGATGTATCCAGTTCCTTCATGGTTTTGGCCATTAGAAATTGGGGATAGACCTTGAGAAAGTCACGCCTTATCCTAGCATCATCTGGAACCCAGAAGAGAGGTATTTTTCTTTGTCTTTAGCATACTGTGTTTGAGCACCTACTGTGTGCCAGGCCCCATGCTAAGCAGTTTGCTGTATTGGTCTGGAGAGAGCTTAAGGAAAGGACTCTTTGCAGAGGTGTGGGGAGTGTCCAAGGAACCAGCAGAAGCAGTGAAGCCCACGGGGCCCGGAAGCTGCAGGAGATTGATCTCACACCCAGACCTGAAGGTCCCTGGGAAGGGAAAGGTATTCCAGAATGCAGTGGGAGTTAAAACCTGGAGCAGGGGTCTCCCAACAGGAGCTGGGGCCATATGAGAGCGTGGCTGTGGCCAAACTCCAGCACAGCAGGGAGGTAATGCCCTGCCCTCTCTCCTACTCTGCAGTCTTTTACTGGGGTCTCCTATTGGCCAAACCCAGCCAGAAACCAGAGTGCAAGGAAGCCGGAGGGTGTAGTCTGTCAAGAGTCAGCTTTAGATGGCGGGGGAATAACCAGCATGCAGCATGTCATACCGGAAGACAGGTATTACATCCCCATTTCACAGCTGGATAGGCTGAGGCCTGGAGGCACAGAGAGATGAAGTAACTTGCTCAAGGCCATGTAGGACTGTATTTACTCCCAGGAGCTCTGATCGACAGGTCCTGACTAGGACAGAGACTGGGGAAGGCTCAGTGCCCTGTGGGAATTCTTAGGAATATTCATGAATTCAGATGGTCAGAGGTGGGAGGGTCCTTGGAGACCCCTTATCCACCCCCAGCAGGCTCCAGCCACAGAGTTGTGGTCCAGAGCCTGAAAGGTCATCACACAGGGTCACATGGCAGTTCACAGCACACCCAGGACTGAACTCCCAAATCCCACGCCTGTAAGATCTCTCCCTGCTTACTGCCAGAGGAGATGCCAGCCAGGACCGACTTCTCTCTGCAGTGCTTGGCAGGCAGACCACTGCAGCTGGACACAAGGGTGGACTTGTTCCATAGGATGGGGTTCCCCTCGATCTGGCTGTCGGAGGCCAGGACCCTTGGGGGAAACCCCGAGGGGGCTGCTCGGTTGTTTCCATGGCTCTGTTTGCGTGCGCCTGGAGGCCAGGCCTCCCCCGCCTCCCCAAGGCGGGCCTGCAGCCCCCGCTCTGCTCCCCCTCAGTGCTGGGCCCTCTCAGAGGCCCCGTTGTTTGCAGCGTGGAGTGGAAAATCCCACCCCGGTCTGGTGAATCATCCCATAGTCACCCGCTCAGGCTGCAGGCCCTGGAAAGAAATGGCTGCATTTTTCCACTGCAAGGAGGACAGACGGGGTCTCAGACCAGGGGAGAGGGGCCAGAAGTGCCCACTCTTGCTTGCCTGTGAACAGAGTGAGCTTTGAGTGGGGAAGGGTCAGGCCCGCGACTGGAGCTGGGCGGCCAATGGCCCTGGCCCAGGTTGATGGAGCAGAGGGATTGGCCAGGCTGCAGCTGGGGCCTGGGCTGCCCTGTCCAGGAGTTGGCCCGTGGGCTGACATCACCCTGGGTCCTGACTGGCACTCTGAGTCTGCTCTGCAGATGTTGTGGATGAGGTCAGACTCCGGCCTGGTTGCCCCATTTCTGGGTCGGAAGAAATGCCAAGAGGGAGTGTCCAGGCCTCTGCAAGCTGCGGCCCCACCAGGGTCCACCAGGAACTACAGCCCACGGAGCCTGTCCCTCCCTGGAGCACTGGACAAGCCCTTCATTCCTTTGAGTCTTGGCCTTCTCCTCTGTGAGATGGGCCTTTCCCGCCTGATAATCTAGTGCAGGAAATCACCCACATCCTGGCCCCCACCACTTGAGAAATGTGAATGCCAGGAAGGTTCCAGAATGACCATTTCACGGATGGCCACAGAGCAGGAGGGACTTACCCAAAGTCATACACCTAGTCAAAGACACACCCCAGCAAGATTGCCTATGTGGAAGCTGCCTAGGCGAGGAGAACAGGTCCATTGGTCCTGGGTTTGAATCCAGCTCTGCCTCTTGTTAACTGTGTGGCATTGGGCAGGTCACTTTACCTCTCTGAGCCTGTCTCTGGTTGCTTTTCTGTTGAAAGGGTGTGGTATTCCTACAGCAATGTTCAACCTTAGTCCCTGCACGTCTCTTTGTTTCTGGGTCACCTGGGAGAATTGGGCCAAGGAATGCCTTCTAAGTAGGGATGTCTTTTGCCATCCCCCAGAAGCGGATGTGGAGGAGGGAGGGTAGCTTAACATTTTGCGTTGGGTAGGTTCCAGGAGCTTGCTTAGCAGAAATAACAGCTAACATTTTTTTGAGTATTAACCGGGTGCCAGGCACCAGGATTAGCACGTTTTATACATTATCTGTCCGCTAGGTGCTATTATTATCTTCATTTTCCAGTTATAGAAACAAAGGCTTGGAGACTGGAAATAGCTTGCCCAACGCCACCCAGCCTGGAGGTGGGGGTACCCTGTGTGAACCCAAGGCCTCGTCTTAACACCATGCTCTACTCAGAGCCAGCTGGGGCAGAGAGGCGGGTAGACTGGGCCAGAGTCCCAGACTTGCAGAACTCTGGTCGTAGGACCAGAGACCATCCCTGCGGCCCCAGAGCTCTGCTACTGGTTTGACCCGAGGGACTGGTGCTCAGACTGGCTGGGACTTGCCCGAGGTCACAAAGCGGCCCCTCCTCCCTCCCCTCAGGGCTCTCACCCAGCGACTGTGGGGCCTTGGTGCCGGTATCTGCCTGTCTGGATCTCTCCTCTCAATTTTATTCATGGACGAGTGAGCACGTGGTGTTCACAGGCCAGAGCTGTGAGCCCGGGCTGCCCAGCGTGAGATCTGGATTAATTACCAGCCAAGCCGTACTGGGTTTTCAACACCGATTTTAACTCTGGGCAGGAAACCTGGAATCTCGTTGATGGTTATTTGAAACAAATGAATTCCCCAGGCCTCACACATCCTCGAAAGCCTGGCTTCCTTCGAAGGCTTCAGGCTCAGTTCCTCACATCAGGCGCTTAGTTAATCCTCATTGACCCCTTCGAGGTGGATGGGACAGTAGCTGTTGGACCCATTTTAAATGGGAGCAGCTGCGACTCAAGACAGGTGGAAGGAGTTGCTGGAAGTCCCCAGCTATTAAGTGGTAAAATCAGGGTGTGAATCAAGGTCAACCCGTGGCTTAGCAAGCCTGCCCGGTTGCCTCCCTTCCTGTGTGAAGGGGAAAGGGAGGAGGCCAGACAGGTGCTTTTTCAATGCCAACCTTCAGGGTTCGGACTTTCTTTTGTGGGAAGTGGGAAGCACCTTGGGAAGGCAAATGAGGCTGTGTGGAAGACAACTGCCGTGGGGAGAGAGTGGAGGAGCTTGGAGGCAGGGAGACCACTGAGGGGGCAGTTGCACGTTCTTGGGGGTGCGGTGACGTAGGTGGAAGTGGTAGAACAGATAGAACATTTGGGTGCCAGTTGTGAACCAGGCACTGTAGCAAACATGGACTGTCTCTCATATCCTTGAAAGAATCCCACAAGGAAGATATTATTGCCTCTGATTTTATAGGCACAGGCTGCATAAGGAATGTGCCTGAACCCTTTGGGTTAAGGGCAGGTGGGGATTTGAACCCAGGCCCAACCTGTTCAAAAGCCCATGCTTCTACCCGCTGTGCTGCACTGCCTTTCCTTGGCACAGAGGTGCTCGGTGTGACCTTGGCCGAGTCCCTTCTCGGCTCTGACTTTTCAGAGAACTTGGCTGCGCTCCCAAGTCTTTGCTGTTTTGTTTTGTCCAACATTTGGCTAAGCCCTGGGAATAGACAGATGGCTCACATCCCATCAGTTCCTCTGTGGGGACTGTGATCTGATGGGAGGGACAGGCTTCTAAGCAGATAGTACCCCAAATAACACAATGGTCTTTAAAATAAAGGGAAAGAATGGACTTGATCCCACTTGGGGAAGGGAAGGCATCCTGGAGGAAGCGACACCCTGAGTAAGTAGCTACAAAGGCCTGAAAGCCTTAAAGAGTGTGAGTTCCTCAGGGCAGGGAACTCTTCTCCTCATCCATGGTGTTTCCATGCCCAGAGGTGTGGACAGTACTGTTGAATGACTGCTTGAACCCATTCTCTGTTGCCACTTGGCACTGTCTGATGCTGTCTTCTTGCTTTCTCTTCAGGGTCCTCCTGGGCTGCCTGGGCTTCCTGGTTCCCCCGGTGCACGAGGGCCTAGGGTAAGTGATGGCATGCTGTTCTTTGGAGTGCTGGTTGGCTCTTTGGCCTGTATCCTGCTGCTCTTGAAGTCTTGGGTTTGCCGTGTGTCTTCTGGCTCTCCCATACTTCTCTTTGGCACCCACTGGGGGTGAACTGAGGGTCCTTGGGGGTGTGTGAACAGACATGGCATGGGACAGTGATGAGCTCTTACAGGCTTTGGTTGTTCATTGTGGGTGTCACCCTTTGAGCCCCGGGGTAAGGAAGAGACTTCTGAAGACTATCCCCCCTAGGCTGATGGGCTTCAGTATTTGTTCAGGAAAAAGAATACCTGGGGAGGGAGGGTGTGACCCAAGCATCCCTTTTCCCATTTTTCTTTTTCCTTGAGTCGAAGTCTTACTCTGTCACCCAGGCTTAGAGTGCAGTAGCACAATTGTGGTTCACCGCAGCCTTGACCTCCTGGGCTCAGACAATCCTTCTGCCTCAGCTTCCCGAGCAGCTGGGACCACAAGTGTGCACCACCACACTGAGCTGATGTGTTTGATTTTCTGTAGAGATGAGGTCTTGTTATGTTGCCTAACCTGATCTTGAGCTTCTGGGCTCAAGTGATTCTCCCAATCATCCTCCCAAAGTACTGGGATTACAGGCATGAGCCACCGAGCCCTGTCCTTCTTCCCATGTCTGCAGGGCATCCTGGGGTGGGGGTGCTGATACAGGCACTTGGCAGGCCATACCGGTGAGGGGGTGAGCTCCGCATGCTGGAGAGAGGCTGGAGGACAGTTTGGCAGGACTGCAGAGGCTGACGCGAACCAGCTCGAGCCTCGGAGTGAAAATAGCTCCGATGTGTTATGCCTGGCACGTCCCTTGATGCCGCCTTATTTGACCCCACCCCCACCCCAAACCCCCATGGGCCAGTGTGATCATTCTCATTTTAGGGATGAGGAAATTGAGCAGGAAATGGCAAAGCCGGGACTGGAACCCAAGCTCTTAGTCGTGTGCTGGAACCCTGGGGGGTCTTCTTAGAGGAAAATCTGCCTCCTGTCCTCGAGGGCCGAGACCTCCGGCACCCGGCCTCTGTGCCCAAGCTGAATCAGCCTTTCCCACGCTGGGTGCCTGGCGAGGCCCTGGCAGAGATAGCTGCCTGGGGCATATTTTTAGCTTCGAGCCCAGCGGATGGTTCTGGTTATGCAATTACCCAAGCCCTCATTCCCTCCAGACCTGGCCCTGTGTTCCCTGGGCCCAGGGCTCTGGAATCTGCTGTCCGAAGCGGCATTTCCTCCTGGCTCCAGAACCTTCGGGAAGCACATGCCCTGGGGACCACATAGGTCTCAGGGAGGCTACGAGCCGTGGACCAGGATGAGGCCCTTGACCTAGCATTCTAGGCTCAGGCAACCTGCCCTTAACCCGGGACTCCTGAGCCCTGGCTGTCCTCCCTATTCGGTGTCTCACCTTTGCAAACTCCTCCTCCACGCAAGGCTATGATGAAATGCCATTTCCGATGACTGCCCCCTTTTGGGAGCTCCTGCAGTGGTTTATCTGCCCCCCCCCCCCCCCCCCGGAAGGCTTAGTTCACTTTCTAAAAGCCTCCTCGACCGCTGAGCTCTGTTTGCTGAGGGGCATGTGCACGGTTCCATTTCATCTTCCCAGACGTCCTGAGAAATAAGCTCCAGTATGATTCCCATTTTTACAGATGAGGAAGCGGAGGCTCAGAAATGTTCTATTACTTTGGATAAAGTCAGAGCAAATGCCAGAGCCAGGATTAAACCCCAGCAGTCTGACTCCAGGGGCTAGCATCTTAACCGTCCATTGTGCCAATTTTTCTGGCTGCTCAACCAAGCCCCTCTAGGCTGGAGAGAGGCCTTGAATGACCTCTCTCAAGATGTCTAGCCAAGTGCCCTGCATGCAGGAGGTACTAGGCAAATAATTGGTAAAGAGTTCTAGTCTGGGAATCCAGAACATTTCCACCAAGAAGCTGTGGGATCGTAGATAAGGTCCTTCCCTCCTCCTGGCCTCAGTTTCCCCATCTATAAACCTGGGATCACAGTAAGGCATTTCCAGGGTCCCTCCCAGCTCTGGGCGAATGGCTTTCCTGACATGCTTCCAGGCTCTTTGCCTCCCCACCTCCCATCATCCTGTTCCTAGACTGGAAATTCCATAGTTTATAAAATTCCAAAGATCGCAGAATGCTGCATCCGACAATCCCAGCTCCTCTCTGCATGGATGGCGGCTCTGGGGCTCCGGGAGGAGCAGGATCTTACCTGCAGTCAGCCAAGGCTCTGTGTCACGCCCTCCCTGCCTCCACATCTTCCCCCGGCCCAAGGAGGGATGTCGAGGAATCCCTGAGGCTCTCCCACCTGGCGTTCTGGGCTGCAGCATTTAGAGAATCAGTCTGCTTGGCTTCCAGTCAACTATGCGCCTTGTTTCTCTGCAAGGCTGTAGCTGGAGAGGGGTGGGGAGGTGGGGGCAGGGAAGCAGGCAGCCCCCATCTCCACGAGCTGGAGATGGGTTCACCGAATGCTCCGGCCCACCATCTGTGGGGCAATGGGGGCATGACAGGGGAGAGGCAGCCGCCCTTGACCTTGTGCAGCCCATACCTGGCTCTGGGTGAGCTGGGTGTCAGGAACCCCTCCTCGAACACTCCTGCCCAACCTTTGCCCTATTCCAGCTGAGCTCTGTGGCTGGGTGAGCATCTGTGGTTCTCCAGATTCCTCAAAGACCCCTGGGTCCCAGTCATTCATAGGACAGTTGGGGGGACTGAGGCTGGAGGTTGCAGGCTAAGGTTCAGATCTGGGACCAGGTCTTGCCACTTCCAGGTTCCATCTGTGTGTCAGAAGATAGCGTTTGGTGGGCTCTTGTGGGACAGGGGGGCAGGAACGCTGGTTATTTTAGGAGGGTCACACGTGGCACTTAGAAATTCCTGGATACTTTCTCTCCCGATGCATTTGGAGAAGGGGAGGGTCCCAGTTCAGGCATCGAGGAAGACAGGAAGAGGGAGGTGCCTTGGCTGGAATGTGACAGGCTGCAGCTGGGAAGCTGGCCTGGGGGAGCGCAGGAGAAAGCCGTTCACACAGTCAGCCGATGAGTCAAGAGGGCAGGCGCGAGGGCAGCGGGTCTGGGGGCGGGTGGGGTGAGGTGCCTCTCCCTGCCCCCGATGCCCCAGATTATTCCAGCTGGGCCAGGACCCTCGGGTGTTACCCGATGTTCAGGGCTCTGTTTATGTTACTGGACTGGGAGAGTCTAGTCCGGGGCCCCTGCTGGAGAAAGTGGACATAACAGGACCCAGCTGTTGGGGGATTCGGATGCAGCCTAGGGAAATCCAGCTCCATGAATACGCACTGGACTTGAAGCCACCAGGCCCACAACCCTGATCTTGCTTGGCCACAGCTCTGCTGTGTGACTTTGACCAAGATTCTCTGTTCTGTAAGCTGCTCCATGGTCTCTGAAGGACCTTGCAAGCTTAGAGCTCGCGGGAGTCTGAGGAAGAGCCCTGGTCACATGCTGTAGCCACAGGAGGGTTGTGGCTTTGTTCACAAGAGGGCAAGGGCACCCTTCCTTGGGCTGTCAAGTCCAAAGCCTCATACAAAAGTCCAGTTGGAGTCTAAAGGGTGAATAAGTCACTGGTGGCTGGAGGGGTTCTGGAGGTGGCATTTGAGCCAGGCCTTGAAGGAGGGTCAGGTTTCAGTCAGAGGAGATGGGTGAGAAAGACATAGCACATGATGGAATGGCATGGGCAAAGGTGACCCGGAGACAGATTACCAGACGTGCGGGGGGAAGTGAATGGTTGGGTGTGGCTTGAGCCAGCGAGGTTGCGCAGGGCTGAGAGTGGGGAGAGGCAGCAACACATAGGGGCTGAGGATTTGTGCTCCAAAGTCAGGTGTGTCTGAAGTCAGCGTCCAGCGCTGTCTCTGAGCCATGGGGTGACCTGAGACAGGTGAGTAGGATATACTGAGGTGACACATGGGAAGTGCTTCCTGCAGGGCTGGGCCACGAGGGGGCAAGCCCGAAGGTTGGCTGAGTAGCCGTGGCCGTGTGGCTGTGCACTGGCTTGGGGAACAGAAACTAAAGACCAGGGTGGAGGGAAGGTGCCAGGCACTGCCATCATAAGCGGAATGGCTCCTGCTTCCTGTCATCATCTTTGTTTCTGTCTCTTCTTCCTTTTAGGGTCCTCCTGGACCTTATGGAAATCCAGGTCTTCCTGGTCCTCCTGGAGCCAAGGTGAGTATTTGATGGGACATGGTCATAGAGTTGGGGCTGGGCCGGGGGTGTGTCTGGAGGCTTCCCAGGAGTTCCTGGTGGAAGGACTGCAGGGTCACTGTAAAAGACTCTCGTCTAAGCCAGAAGCACCCTGAGCACCTTCCTAGGACTGGGCCCTGTTGCCAGGTCTTGAGACACAGAGGGAAGTCCTGAGTTCAGCATCTGTGTGGGAGAGGCTGAAGGAGGAGCGGTTAGAACCTAGAGCCCTCGAAGAGCGGGGAGGCGGGAAGGTGATTTGCTGATTGCTGATAGAAAGGGGGAGGGCTTTGAATGTCAGACAAAGGACGTCAGGTAGACCGGGTTGTAAGATGCATCCTGGGAAGGGCCATGGAAAGATGGCTCTTTTAGAAACGTCATTGGACAACGTGAGGGGGATGAGTTGGGGGTGGGGCCAGAGCTGAGTCTGGGACACCAGGGGTGATACAAGGGAGAGAAGAGGCTAGCCTGGGCCCGCTTAGAGGTGTGGAGGAGGTCGGGGGAGAGGATGGGACTCCGTGGGGTTAGCCTCAGTGACTGAGCTTGGACGCCAGGAGGAGGGATGCTGCCTGTGGGAACCTATAACCCAGCAGGGTGGAGATCAGCCAGGGACAGATGTTCGGAAACTCAGGAGTGCTCTGTGCTAGAGATAGACCCTGGGGAGTGAGACCCTGGTACAGAGATGCCACCTCCCCCAGGGAGCCTCCTTGGATTGCTCCCATTAACTCTTGATGAGACCTTAGTGGCTGGTGCTCTGATGATGCAGAAAACTCCAGGGGCCAAGCTCCTTGGTCTGTTCCTGAGCTCTGGCAGAGGGCAAGGTTGTCGTGGTGCTGTGTCGAAAACCAGAGGAGTGCCAGGTGAGAACATTTAGGTCATGCAGAAAAGAAGATAGCTGGGCAGATAGGAAGGAAGGAGGACGGAAAAGTCCTGGAAGCTAAGGGAATAGGAAGGAGGAGGCAGGGTGGAGGGGCTCCTGGTTCCTAGGTCTCCCAGTGCAGCCTGTGTCATAGATGACCAGGTAAAGAGCACCCTGGGCTTTGGTTGGCCCAGATCCAACGTCATTCTTTGCTAACCCAACTGCAGAGGTCGAATGGCTTAAGAAAAGCCATGAACTGACTGGCCCAAGGCCAGGCAGAGTGAGCAGCCAAGTGGCCGCCAAGCCCAGCTCTCTTGACTCCTGGAGCAGGGCTCCTCCTGGCCACCAGCTTGTCTGGGAGCTTTGGGCAAAGATCGCATGTGGTTAACCGCCTCAGCCTCTGTAGGTCTGTGATTTTACGGCCAGGGCTGGACTGGGGTCTCTCCTTGGAAGGCAGAGACAGTGGATGCCTGGGGTGTCCAGTGCTGCCTGGAGGTGCTCTGGGTTTTAGCAAGGCAAATACTTGTGACACTGACCGCCATATACTGGACCCTTCCCTGATGCTGGGCATGTGCGTGCACTTTACTTGACTCATCTTGTTGGATCTGCACAAAGACCTAAAGAGGTGGGTGGAGATACTGTATCCATTTACAGATGGGGAAACTGAGGCCGGGGCAGTTAAGACATTGTCAGGAAATGGAAGCAGAATCTGCCTCTGTGGCCAGGCAGAGAGGGGGCACTCCTTTGGGGACCCAGGGTCATGGGTACATCAGGATGCTGAGTACCAGCAGCTGCTTGGCATAGACAGGCTTGCTCTTCTTGGTCTACTCTGGGACAGGCCTGTTCCTCCCCTCCCCCAGGCTAGCCCCCTGCTCCTGTGGTGGTAGTGCTCCATCGGCTCCTCCTCCTGGCCCATGTGGGCCCTGCTTGCCCTTTGAGCACTGCAGGGCCTCGGTGCCAGGCCTCGATGACAGACATGCCACAGCAGGAGGATCCACCAGCTGCTTCTCTCCCCATTTTGAGAAAGGGCTCTGGGTGTGGCCACGGAAGCTCGTCCCTAGCCAGTGAGTCTCCCTGATGCCACACGGAGCTGGGAGTGTGGACTCAGCCTCGTGGACAGGACTCCAGCCTCCTTCTGGGTACCACAGATACGGGTAAGGCTTCTAGGAAATACTGGAATTAGGCACTGCTTCTTCCTCTGGGACTTGTGTAAAACGCCAAGGGGATAAGTCCTGCCCTTTGCCTGGACACTTGGCCCTGAGCCCAAAGGTGAGCAGAGGTGCCTCCAGGGCAGGCCGGTTGGGTGAGAGGCCTGAGTTGCTGGGCTCTGCTCCAGGCTGATCAGTGGCATGGGCAGGACAGGATTCAAGCAGAGGCTGTCCTTGGAGGGAATTCATGGCTTAGCTGAGATTGGATGAAAATGTTGTGGATCTATCTGGGTGCAGGGGTGAGACCCTACAGAGACTGTCCTCACTGTTCACTAGATCTCCTGTTTGCCTGGAAGGTGACCTGGTAGGACTGTGGAGCTGGCCTCCTCCAGGTCGTTTGCTGGCCCCTTCTCTTCCAGCATGGTGTCTGGGGCCATCCGCCCATTCATCCTTCGGTCAGCAAACCCATAATGAGCACCTACGATGGGCTATTGACAGAGAAGGCAGCCAAACCAGCAGGGCCTGCCTTGAGGGTGCAGGGCCTGCCCTTCCTCTGGATCAGCCCCATGTGGTCATTCCTGCAGCACATCTAACCCCCAGGTGCTTGTGGCCTTGTGGGAGAAGGACCCCCTGGCAGGCCCAAGGGTGGGAGACATGTGGATTGAAGAAGACCATGAAAGAGAGACAGCAAAGGTGTTGGGCCTCGTTTCTCTTGAAGGGAATGACAGTCCAAACGGCCAAGGGGCCTTCCCCGGGTCATGGGTTGGTGGTGGGAGGGCCACGTGTTGTGGATCCTTGGGTTTGCCTGCTGGAAGGAGCTTTATCAGGGCGCCACAACTGGTACAGACCAGAGCCAGGTTTCACCCTGTCTGCATCCTCCAGAGCCCAAAGCTTTGCCCATGCACCATCACTGCACATATCTCATGTCCTCATCAGCTCCAGTGGAGTCAAGATGCAGGACTTTGAGGATGAGGCAGAGAAGCCAGGACCCTGAGAGGTCAGGGTTGGCTGACCTCAGAGATTCAGGGTTGAGTCATCGGGTTGACTCATTGATTCGGTTGACCCATAATTGTTGCTTCTGGAAAGCACAGGGATTCAGAGCAAAGACTCTGGCCGAAGTTCAGATCCTGGCTCTGTTACCTCCTTGTTCTGTGACCATGGGCAAATTACTTGAGCTTCCTGTGCCTTATGAGAGTCCTTATCTGGAAAATGGGGCAGTAAAGAGAGCTGCCTCCTTGGGTTGTCATGAGGAGTAACTGGGTTGTTTGGCATCTCTGCTTAGAGTGGTGCTGGCATCTGACAGGTGCTGCAGAAGGGTTTGCTGTCAGCATGTGCAAGGTGCTGGGTCGACAAGGGGCCCAAACAGAAATGGTTCCTGCTCTTGTGGGGGTGTAGGGGCACGAGAGAAAGTTAAACAAGCCACCAACACCGAGAAATGCAGAGTTACACAATGATTAGGGCTCCAGGGCTTCATATGAGAGGCCCCGAGTGCTCAGAGAACCCACGATATAGGGATTGAGCTGGTCTAGGAGGTGAGGAACACCCTTCCAGGGGGGCGATGGGGCTGGAGGAAGCTGGGGAAGGCAGCAGGCCTGGCAGGTGGTGGTGAGACTTTTGGACTTTGCCCAATGAACAATGGGAAGACCTGAAAAGGATTTCAGCAGAAGTGACATGATCAAATGAGGTTTTTAAAGACTGTTCAGGCTGTATGAGATGCAGGGCTTAGCCGGTGGCCTATGGGGAGGCCTGGAGCTGCCTGGGAGTTATGAGGGGCTGCTGATGCTGGACCGTGGTGGAGTGAGGTGGGACACAGGCCTGTGGTTCAGGTGAAGAGCTCTGGGCCAGAAGCAGGCAGGCTCCTGCTGGTTAGGGAAGCAAATGCTCCCTGCACCCAGCCATGAGGTACCTGACCCCAATTGTGGGCAACTGGCTGCCCTTTCCAGCCCACTTGGTCTGCAGTGAACCAGTGAGGATGATTATGGGCCCTTGGACATCAGGGCAGGAAGGGCAAGCAGGAGGGGCAGGCTTCGTGACCCAGGAGGCTGCTGACAGAGCTGGGGTGGAGACAGCCCTCGGGCGTTCCCAGACCTCAGGCTCCCCCACTTCTGATGATGGAGATAGGACGTGCTCATTAAGGAAAACATGGAGAAGTCTAGAAAGTATCAAGAAGCAAGTGGGCTACTGCAGGGGTCCTATCTTGTGAGAAGCATGGAGAAGATTCTGAGCAGCCTGTGGGACAGGCCCTGGCCAAGAGCTTTACTTACTTTGCAGTGCAGATCTTATTACCCCTGTCTGATGGATGAGGAAACTGAAGTCCAGAGTGGCTAAGTAGCTTCCCCGGTTCCACATTTCTAGTAAGCGGTAGGGCCGGTATTTTAACCCTGGAGTGTCTGATCTCAAGGCCAGAACTTTCAGCCACAAGGCGGTCCAACCTCCAGCTCCTCATTCTCTGGCCTTGCCTGAGTGTGTCACTTACCTGAGTATGGATCCACTTCACCGTGGCTGGGCACCTGAGTGTTCTATGCTACCAGCACGGTACCCACCACACAGAAGTGAATGGTTGCACGGCCTCTCTCCATATCAGTGTCACACATTTTCTTTTTTTTTTTAATACACAAGTAATACCTTGATGAACATTATTGTATATAAATATTATAGAATATTTCCAATTATTTTATTAGGATAAATTCGTTAAAAATAGGATTGCTGAGCCTGGGCAACATAGCGAGACCTCAGTTCTACAAAAAGTAAAAAAATTAGCCAGGCATGGTGGTGCGTATCTGCAGCCCCAGCTACTAGGAGGCTAAAGTGGAAGGATCACTTGAACTCAGGAGGTCGAGGCTGTGTTGGCCGTGATAGTGAAACTGCACTCCAGCCTGGGTGACAGTGTGAGACCCTGACTCAAAAAAAAAAAAAAAGAAAAGAAAAGAAAAGAAAAAAATAGAATTGCTAGCATGGACTCGGGAGCCAGGGTGCCT